AGCCAGGCTTTCTGAGTGTTGACAATTTCCCTGGTCGCAGAGTGGGTCTTATTCTCCTCCTATCCACAGCACCCATGATAGAGCCTAGCCCATGTGAGCTTCAGAAACATTTTTATCCAAACAAATTGAAAACAAGGAGTATTAAGCTAAACTGAAACAAATTCTTAAAAATGGAGACAAAGAATTGTAATTTTTATAACAATACTGTGTAACTAAATTTGAAGGCATTTATTTTCAAGGATTTGTAGCTATAATTACAATAGCACTATACTCACAGGTCTCCTACCTTCAGTCTTTCCAGGGAGGTGACATGTGTGAAAAACTGTTTTCCCTCCTTTTTTCCTTCCTTCCTGTCTCTACTTTTTCTTTCTCCTTGCTTACTTTCTTTTACTTTCTGTTTAATTGCAGAGATGCAAAAAGCCTACTCATTTAGTCACAAGGCATTGTTTTTAATGACATGTCAGTGATTTCATGACTAATACCACTGGTAGCTCATATTCTTAAGTTTTCCATAATTAATTACCAAGTTTCCAAAATTTGAAAATAAAATGCCTTCCCTTCTCTCTAGGCAAACAATTTAACTTAATTTCAACGCTTTTAAACTTTAGTTCAGGCAGTCATTTCCAACACTGAATTCATGGTAATACAGTTTGGATAAACAAAAAATTAAACTTAAATTAATGTTCCTCCTGCCCTATGAGCTGTTACACATGATACCCAAGCACAAGGGGGAACATTTCATTCCCCATAATCAATCCAGCAAGGAGATCCGTGCTCAGTGGAACTTCTCTGCATTTTGGGCTAGATGCTTTGCCTCTGTCAGGAAGTGGGATTCTGAAAACCTTGAAAATGAAGAACACAACGTCAGGTTCCGTCCTGTGCCTGACGTGAACTGACAACTGACACCAGGCCCAGCCCTCCTGACTCCGCTCTGGTGGTCCCAGGGCTGGGCCCTGTGGACGTTTCTCCTTTACCAGCCAGAACACCGCTGGGTCTTGCAGTAGCAGGTACAGTGTCCCGTGCAGCAGAAAGGGGTTTCTCCCCCTGGATCCTGCCCAAGCCCAGGGTCTCCCTGCCTCGGTGTTTGTGAGACACAGGCTGCACTCCTTCAGGGAGACTTTATAGCATCCCAACAGAAGTTCCTCTTGTAAGCGGCCCATGGATTAGTTTTGACAGCCAACCAGCAGACACCTTCTCAGCAAATTATGTACTCAGCTTCCTGCTTGCCAGGCCTGGCCCTGAGGCACCTTCCTGAAGTTTTTGTCACCCTGTGGGCCAGGCCACACCATCTCCTAGGAGGTCAGCCTCGGGGAGGGGAGCTTCCAAGGAGACCCCTTCACTAGGTTGTCCTCAGCCGCAGAAGTTATGTCTGCTTACATCTGCTGTTCCTATATCTTCCAGAGTTACCTTGATCATATTAAGCAGTTAAATATTTCTCTTGTTAATAATTATCTATATGTATCTTTCTTTTTAAAACTATTGGTGAGATTTCTGAATCCTGGCTGGATGTTACCAGGACACCTTCCAAGCATGGGGTGATCTCAGGGCACAGACCCTCAAAGTGGGAGGACGGAAAGACTGTGCATGTGCGTGGGTGTGTGCATGGGTGCTGATGCGTGTGTGTGTTTGGACTGGAAAGGGTGCCCTGCCAGGCTTGAGCACAAGGCTCAGGTCCATGCCAGTGGGAAATGGGGCATCAGGAACCCAGAACATGTGCTGGCCTCACACTTGCAGTTGAATGTCCTTTGGTGTGAACTGAAGCAGGTGCTTTGGGACTACAGGTGGCTGCCACATTTGACAACTACAGCAGAAACAGTGACTGTTACAGATTCCCCTGAGTGCACTAGAAAGCTTACAAAAACAAAACAAATGAAACCCAACCCTGACTCTTCAACTATTTGCATAAGCTCAAGTCATAAAGAAAATCAGACAGGCTCCATAGAAACCTTAAAAGAATATACTGCTGAAAGTCAAACACAAAATTTAATCCTACATTTTGCTGAAATACAGTGTCAGTTGGACAGTCTCATAAAACTTTCTGTCTAAAAGTTCCCATTAACTGGGAAGGAAGGGATATGGAAACCCAGAATGGGTAGACACTGTTGGATACAGGTGAGAGAGATGACCTTGAACCCCAAGACCAGGGGAAGTCGCTTGCCCTCCTGTACCTGGAGAGATTCCTCTCTATCCTTTCTAAAAATCCTGTGATGACCTCACCTGGGGCAATGCCTTTATGAGGATGCTTGTTTTCTTCTGGACCCATTCTAACCACGCCCCATTTCTAGAGTTAGACCTAGAGTGACATCTCAGCATTTCAGTGTCCTTCAGAGGGAAGTAAACACGAGGGCGCCGATGAAGAATCTTGCTCAGAAAGAGAACGGCAAAGTTTTGAATACACACACACACACACACACACACACACACACAGCTCGTAGAGTGAGCCAAAGGCCAGAAATCCCACCTTGTAATTAGTAAAAAGGAAATAACTATTTAATGTTACCAAGAGAAGTATGGAGAATACAGAAACAGTGAATGTGGGGAGCAGATACTGTTTTCAGGAGGGGGGGAGACAGGTGTACACCAGAGGCATGCACACACGCACATGTGGACATGGGTTCTGGGAACGTTAGAGAGAGACAGAGCAGAGGTGGCCAACATGACCCTGTAGCAGAGGCTCTGGATTTGATGTTGTTTGTAGCTGGAGGACTGGGAGTGCTGCAGGGCCAGGGGTTTCTCTCGCTGCTCTGGGGGCCTCCTTCTTGTTCCCAGGGCACTGCTGTCAGAGGGAGGTGTACTGCTCCTGGCAGGGACCCAGCAGTGCACACCCTCCAGCCAGTGGCGCTGCTGTCCAGCCGGTGGCTTTCTCCTCATCAGAACTAGCTTCTGGTACCTCCACAAACATCTCCACCATCCAGAGGGCACAGAACTCTCTCAAAGGTCGGAATCTCAATCCTTGGGGGACCCTCTTTCCTCCTGACTCTCCCATCCGGGACACTGTCCCTCGTCTGGAGCGGGGGCAGCTTCCTGCACCTGACAGTCCACTGTTCTTAGTGATTTTTATGTTGAATGCTCCCTGTTCAAACTACCTGGCTTGGACCCTGCTAGTACACAGGCACTCATGGGTGCCTTCCTGTAAATGTGTGTGACTTGCTCCCAGTTCACCACATATTAGCT